CGCCACCCTTTCACCCCTCCACGCACCACCCCGTCACCGCGCCACCCCGCCACCCCGTCACCCCTCCACCGCGCCACCCCGCCACCCTCCACCGCGCCACCCTGTCACCCCGCCACTGCGCCACCCTGTCACCCCTCCACCGCACCACCACACCACCCCTCCACCACGCCACCCTTTCACCCCGTCACTGCACCATCCCGTCACCCCGTCACCCCACCACCGCACCACCGCAGTGGGTTTTGCCTCATCCAGCGCCAAAGTCCATGGACGCGGCTCGGCCCTCGCCTCGCTAGACCTCTCTGCGCTTTTGATGCTGTTTACTGTCCTGCCCTCTTGGGGGAGTCTCTTTCTCGACAGTCCTTCTGTTCGGTCTCCCCTCACATACTCTGGTGGCCCTGATGGCTGCAGGTATGTGCTGATGTCCTCAGCTTTCTCTTGGGCTTTAGACATGTTTGTTCAGGTTACCATCCCCACGTGGGTGTCTCACAGGGGACCTGAACCTCCGGCTCCCTCAGAGCTCTCCCTCCTGCTGCGTTTATTCAGTGCGTAAGGTTGTGGTTAGCCTGTTCGCCGAGGCCGACATCGTTGTCTCCGATGCCTCTTCCTTCTCATCCCCGGCACTCTGTCCCCAAGTGCTGCAGGTTCCACCTCACAGCTCCGGTCCGTCTGCTCTCCGCAGCAGCCACCGTCCCCTCTCACCCGATGTCACCTGCGTCATTCTAACACTGTTGACTTCTGACTGGTCTCTGCCTCCTGCTCTTATTTAGTCCCCCGAAGCCTTCAAAAGGCAGCCGAAGATGTTTGCCCTGAACAAAATAGAATGGATATTCTCCTGTTTAAAAATCTTTAATGGAATACTTCCTCTTGTTCTTGGAGTAAAAAGACTTTTATGATCTGGTTCCTAATTATATTCCTGGCCTCATCTCCCATTGTTTACTGTATCTGTTCTTCAAATGATTTTCCCTTACCTCACATGCCTTCATACTGTGTTCCCCTCTTAACTCACACACTCACACACACACCCACACCCCCCCTTAAATTAGCAGTTCTCAAAAGTGTGATCTGGGAGCCCCTTGGTGTCCCCAAAATCCTTTCAGAGGGTCTGCAAGATCAGCGCTGTTTTCATAATAGTGCTGTGTTGTATGCTTTTTCACTCTCTCACGCGTGTGCAGTGGGGTTTTCTCAGAGGTAATGCAACGTGGTGATGTAACGTGATGATACCGTTGCCCTGGTGGCTCGTGGATATCGTGCTTTTGTAGGTATCTTTTTAAAAATTCCCATTTTTAAAGTCAAAGAGGGTTAACGTAGGTAGATATAACAAAAGCTCTTCAGGATCCTCAGTGATATCCAAGAGAGTAAAGGGGTCCTGAGTCCAAAAAGGCTGGAAACTGCCATTGCAGCCTCAGTGAGGTGGTGTTTCCTCGGAGAAGGCTTTGCTTGGGTCTCCACCCGTGGCTTTCGGGGAGCCTCTGCGGTTTGTGAAGGCCCCGTCCGAGCACTCGCCGCATCGCATTGTGGTGGATTATTCACGTTTCAGGGCTGGCGGACCCGGGGAGAACTCTGCTGTATCCCCAGGACTGAGCATAGTTCTGGAGACATAGTAAGTGCTCAGTAAACACTTGCTGAGTGAATCTCTTTGAAGGTATTTGGAGACATAAGGACTGTACCATGTTTTACATCCTATCATTTTGTAGTTTAGTGATACATTCATTTCTTAGTTTTCTTGGCCCCTAATATCTGAATGGGCTTTAAGAAAGCAACTCTTGTTTTATGTGTATGTATCTTGTGTACACACGCATGCGTGCACACACGGAGAGAGGGAGCGTCTGCATGTTATAGCAGAAAGAACCTGTCGTTGGGAGTCAGGAGCGTCATCTCTAAATCTTTGTCTTCCTCAAATAACCACAGGGCCTTGAATAAGTCTTTTTATTCCTTTGAATCTAACTTCCCTCATCAAGTAGTGGAATTGGACTAGATCATTTAAAATGTTTTTCCCATATGAAATTTGTGAGTATATGTTGAAAGTGTCAAAGTATATGTGATTTATATGTATTTATATTTTTTATTAAAAATACACATACTTTTAGATTTATCTGTATATTAAAATAACTTTGTTTTTACAGGAAAGATGATAAAGACTATGCTTTAAAACAAATAGAAGGAACCGGGATCTCTATGTCGGCATGTAGAGAAATAGCAGTAAGTGAAGCTCTTTTTATCATCATTATTATCAGCTGGCTTATGGGTGTCCATTCTGTAGGTCTCTGGATTGTATTTGTCACATAGACACATTCATTGAGAGTTGAGATATATTTTTGTCAAATATCTATAGAAAAGTACATTTTTTCCCTGTAAATATATTTTTATTGAAGCATAGTCAGTTTATAATGTTGTGTCAATTTCTGGTGTCTCGCATTGTGCTTCAGTCACACATGCATTTGTTTTTTGAAGAGAAGTAAAGGTGGCATGTCATTCTAGCAAAAAAATTCTATATAAATACATTTATTTGGGATTAAGTAAATCTCAGTTGTTTATGTAAGTATGTATTTTTCCCAGAAATGTCACTAAATAGGTAAAGGTGCAGTTTTTCTTATTATCTCATCGAACGCGGTAAAAATGGTATGTTAGTTCATATCAATACTATTTCTCTTTTAATAAGATGAGATAAATTACTCATTACTTATGTGAACTTAAAATGAGATTGTGTCATTTGATTTTTCATTGTATCTGCCTTTTCATTTGAATATGTGAAAACACATGCCTTTTTCTTTTGGAAGCGAACCATTGCCCTATGGTAATTAGAAACTCATTTTGATCCTGAAGGAAAATACTTTTCACGTCGTTAATGCATTACTAAATAATTATTCATAATTTAAAGTGAGTATTACTCCCATGAGATTTTACTTCAGTTTTTCCTGTTGTAAAACCGTGGGTCCAAATTTGTCTTTTCAGTCTTTAATCAGAATATTTTAGAGTATATATGTTATAATAATCTGCTTTGATTGCTTTCAGCCATCTGTCTACACAGACATAGGCTATTGTGAACTGGAGGTATTAATTTAAATAGTTTTACTCATTTAACAGATTCTATACTACTGGGATTTCAACTAATGGTCATTTATTGTGTAACATGTTGACAGGAACTAAACTAAGTGAAAGTAAAGAAACGTAGAACAAGTCAGGTTTCCTGGCCTTAAGTGTTACACACTACGAGGAAAGAGACCTTTAAGTGTTACACCAGTGCTGATAGCGGTGTGCTGCGCACTGCGGTCCAAGCGTACAGAGACTGGGAAAGGGTGTGCCTCTGAACTGGAGAATCGAGGAAGGCTTTAGAATTTGGAGGGCATGTAAGAGTTCCCTCCATGAAGAGGAGAACAGGAGTGAGATGGGGACATTCTTAACCAGAGGTATACCGTATTGGAAATGGTATTTCATTTAACTGATACATTTTTCATGCTCCTGAATCTTGAGGCAAGACATCTGTACACTAAATGTCAGTTCTCTACACTCTAGTTTTAAAGAATTAAATCTCTTGAACTGTGGTCAGTGATGTTGGATGCCATGAGAGTGGTTACCTTTGGAGAGATGGGGGGACCAGAGCAGGAGACGAGGGAGCTTTCAGGGTGCTAGTGATGTTCTGTTTCTCGATTTTGCCCTGGGTCTGGTCATGTGGGTTTCACGTGAGAATACTCACTGAGCTGCGTGCTTTCCGACCATGTGCTTTTCTCTGTCATGATTATACTTCAGTACAAAGTTTTAAAAACAAACAAAACCCCACTTCATTTCAGGAACCGACATTCTTAGCTTTTTTCTACGTTGATAACTGTAAGTAAAGTTAAGCACAAAAAGGACTACGGAAGCTTACTCTTAATGTACTTGATTGTGGTTCTTTGACCTAAGGTGAGCAGCAATTTTTAATTTTGATGGTGTCTAATTTACTAGTTTTTTCCTTTTATGACTATTGTTTTCTGTGTCGGGCTAAAGAAGGCTTTTTCTGCTCGCTGATTGTGAAGGTATTTCCCTCTTTTTCTTCTAAATGCTTACAATTTTAGCTTTACCTTTCAGTCTGTGATCTACTCACTTCATCTGTGTTTGCAGTCTGATGTAATGTTTGAGCCTCTCCTTCCCTCATCCCAGGTGGCTTGGACAGTTGTAGCACTTTTTGGAAAGATTCTTCCCCACTGAATTCCTTTGGAACCTTTGTAAAAAGTTAAACGACTGTAAATGTGAGACTTTCTGGGCTCTGTTCTCTTCCATTGATCTCTTCTCTACGCTCAGCTAATACTAGGTCGCTCTGCTTTACAGCAAGACTTTGAGGTAAGGTGGCGTAAAGCCACTAGCTTTACTCTTTGTTTCAGGGTTGTTTGGGCTATTTTTAGGTCCTTAGTGTATAAATTACTGAATCAGCTAGTAATTTGTTTCTTAAAAATGCCTACTGGGATTATAGTTTGCGTCAGTTTAGAGAGAATTGACATCTGAATAATACTGAAACTTCCAGGCATGAATCTTAGAAAGATATACTTTCTATTTTTTAAGATTTTCTTTAATTTTTCTCAAAAACATTTTATAGTTTTTTTAGTATGGAGGCTTTACACATTTTTTGTTAAATTCATTCCTAAGGATTTTATGTTTTCTGACATTATAAATGAGATTATTTTAAAATTTTTATTTTCTACTTGTTTGCTTCTTAGAAACTTAGCAATAGGATTGATTTTTTTAAAATATTATTTATTACATATATTACATAAATTGTGTTCTAAGTTCACTGATAGATTTGGTTATATCTTGGGATTTCTCCATAAATAATGATGTCACCTGTGAATAGGAGTAGTTTTATTTCTTTCCAACTTTATGCTTTCAATTTGTTTCTTTCATATTGTGTTGCTGGAACCTCTCAGACGATGTTGAGAAGTGGTGAGAGCCATCGTCTTGGACTTGTTCCCAATCTTGGCAGAAAGTATTTTCGGTGTTTCATCATCAAGTAGAATGCTAGCTATAGGTTTTCTATAGATGCCATCAGTCAGATTTGGGAAGTTCCCTTCTGTTTTCTTGTAAATGGTAATGAGTTTTATGAAATACTTCTTTCTGGATGTACTGACATGACCATATAGTTTGTCTCTGTTACATGGGTAGGCTACATCGATTACTGTCTAATATTTTTCCAATTATGCAGTTTTGAAATAATCCCTGCTTGGTTATATATATTACTGAATTTGAATTACTAATGTGTTAAGGAGCTTTACATTTTGTTTTTTGGTTTCTTTTTCTTTAAAGGAATTTTAGGTCTTTTGGGGGATGTTGGTCTGTGGTTCTTGTGATGTCTTTGTCTTTAGGTCCAAGTCGTGCTGTCCTCACAGAGCAAGTTAGGCAGCCTTTCTTCGCCCTCTACATTCTGACAGAGTTTCTCCGGGGTTGACAGTTACCCTTCCTTAAATGTTTGACAGAATTCACCAAACTGTTATTATTTCCTTAATAGATATAGAGCTCTTCACATTTAATGTTTCATCTTGTGTTTGATAAGTTGTATTTTTCGTGTAATTTGTTTATTTTGTTTAAGTTGTTGAATTTATTGGCACAAAGCAACAGCAATAATATTCTCTTATTCTGTTTTCACAAATGTTGCTTCCATGGTAATGTCCCTGTTTCACTGTGGATTTTGTTAATCTGTGTTTTGTCTGTATCATTGTATTTTGCTCTTACCTTTATTCTTTCTTTCCTTCTACTTACTTCTGACTTACATTTCTTTTTTATCTTCTTAAGGTAGACCTTAGGGCATTGATTTTTAAACTGTTCTTTTCTAATATCAACAACTAAAAGTATAAATTTCCCTCTAAGCTCTTTTAAATTTCATAAATTTTGTCACATTGTATTTTGATTATCATTTAGTACAAAAGGATTTCAGTTTTCTTTGTGATCTTTTATTCATGGATTATTTAGAAATATATTATTTAATTTTTAAATATGTGAGGCTTCCCAGATAATTTATTGTTGTCATTTACTAATTTTGTTCTATTGTGGTCAGAGAAAAGAGACTATGTTTTAGAGATACATACTGAAATATTTAAAAATGACATCATATGATGCCTGGGATTTACTTCAAAATAATTCAATGTGAGGTGGGAGAAGTGGGTATGAATATAGATAAAATAGAATAGGTAGTGAGTGGATAATGATACATGGAGGTTTGTTTTATTTTACTATTGTATTTTATTTACTTTTGAAATTTTTTCTATAATAAAAAATCAAAAAGAAAAAACATCCCATCTTTCTAGCAAGTATTATCAGACCTCTCCCTCCACGTATTAAATATTCCTCTGAAAAACCCTATCTCCCCACCACTCACCTCCATTATTCTCTTGTGATCTGCACTCAGTTTGTTCCTTTCATAGCACTCATTACAAATCATAATCTCTTTGTTTGTTACCTTATTTTCTGTTTGTCATCCCTACCCCCACCTAACACATTTCTTCCCCAGTGTGTACCATGTCTGACACACAGTCTTTGGCTCAGTAAGTAATTATAAAAGGAAGGGGAGAAGGAAAGAACTCTGAGAATTTCTACTGAAGTTAAGAGCGTTGTATACACTCATCCTCAGTGTGTTACACGTGGTTTGTTGTGTATTTCCAGAATTTCCTGGGAGCTGCAGTCCCTTTAACTGAGTGGTGTTCAGACTGTGTCTCAGTGGACCATCTGTATCACAGGGCTGCCTTGTAGTTGGGCTGCTTTTAAAGCTCACGTTTGCTTTAGCCTAGGCACCTCAGGCTTTTTTTTTTTTTTTAATCAATTTGCAAGAATTCAGTTGAAGAAAAGTCCACAGCTTAAAAATTTTTTTTGAAATCATTTTGGAATAATTTTCTTGATGCTTTTATAGTAATTTCAACTCGACTATCATACTTAGGGCATAAATTTAGAATTTACTATTTTTGCTATATTGTAAATTTTTAACATTTGAAATCAATGTTTTGAGAATATTAGAGGTTTACTTACCTATTTTTTCACTCACCACTGTAAGTGGCATTTATTGGCAGTTTTAAGTATTATTAATTTATTTTTCATATATTTGTACTGTTAGAGTTCACATTAAGTGAGATACTGTGTGACACAGTTGGAATGAATTAAGTTTATGATGAATGATGATTTAAAACATTTGTATTTTTTAGCAGTGATCTTAGTACTCAGGAAATTATAAGATTTTTATTTCCAGTAGAATTAGGAAAACTTAGATGATCTCTGTGCTGAAAACCATTATATAAATTTTTTTAAACCTTTCCTTTAAACATTTTTAAACATAAAATCTTCAGAAAGGCAAGAATACTTTATACAGTGTCAAGAAATAGGCATCTGCCTCCTGTGGGCTCTGTGTGGGGTGGTGAAGCCCATTGGGTGTGAAGCCTGCACGGCGCCCTCGCCGGGTTGGGGCGCCGGCCTCAGGGTCGCGGGAGCCAGGTGACCTGAGCTCTTACCCTGGCTGTCCCGCTTAAGTAGCCTGTAGGACGCAGAGCAGGCCACTCAGTCCCCGTGCTTTACTCTTTGTAAAGTGAGAATAATGATATCTCATAGGGTTATTTTGCTTGAGGAGCTCAGGGCACTTCTTGGGGCACAGTGAACTCTGGGTGCATGTTCACTTCTCAGGGACTGTCAGCAGCGCCACAGCCACAGCCGAGCACTGCCTGGGACTTGGACTTGGACTTGGACTTGTGTCTGGTGGGGGACCCCAGCAGACGGTCTCAGCACATTTTCTGTCCCGGGACTTCGTGCGGCATCCACCGCAGGGCCTGGCATGTCGCAGGCATTCAGTAAATGCTAGCCCTGCTAAATGTAGCACAGCTCCCTGGGCTCCTGGAAGTACTTCAGTGTAAATATTTACTTAGAGGCAGTTCCCCGCTGAGCTTCTCAGTTCCAGCTCCAGCCCCGCAGTGACCCGTCTCCCAACATAGAGTGCTTTACTTACTCAGTAGTAATAGTTACTTACTGGATTAGTTTGCCAAGACTGCCATAACAGAGTACAGGCTGGGTGGCTTAAACAACAGAAACTTCTGTCCTTAATGGGGGAGGCTGTTGGTCCAGGATCAGGGCGCCTGCACAGGCCTCTCTTGGTTTGCAAGTGGCCACCGTCTTCACCTGCTTGCCTCTGTGCGCCCTCATCGCCTTTTTTTTATAAGGTTACCATTCAGGTTGGATTAGGGCCCATCCCACTGACCTCCTTTTAACTTAATTGCCTCTTTAAAGGCCTTATCTCCAAATACGTATAGTCACATTCCGAGGTACCAGGGGTTTGGGTTTCAACACAAGAATCTTGGGAGAACATAGTTCAGTCCATAACACTTACTGTTACTTGTTGCCGTCGTCATAGTACCTAGTCACTGGTAAAATCATTACCCTCAGAGACTCATTTGACTAATCAGATGGATTTTAAAAAGATAGAATGGATTTTTTGATGGAAGCAATGATCTTAGTCGTAGCTCAGAAGCCAAAGGGCGTGTTGTATGATGCCCTTTAGTTGGTATGTATTGTTTATTCGTGACTTCAGTTATTCCTGTATTCACCAAGTATTTAATGAGAACCTGCCAGGTACGAGGCAGTGTGCTCGAAGCTGGCAGGGCAGTCATGAGCAAGACACAGTGCCTGCCATTGTCCCGTTAGTATATACATAAAATATCTGTGTCTCTGGATTGTAGGACAGGCTATTCCCCTGGATCTCAGGGCTTGGGAGGTATTGGTGTTAGACCATAGAGTACTGGCTTTGTATTTTAGAAATTAATTAATTAACATTAAAAGCATTTAAATCCGCTACTTAGGAATGTGACCTTGAGCAAATTGTTTAATCCCTTTAACCCTATTACCCCTCTGGTAAATACGAGCAACATAAATATTTGCATCGGGTAGTTCCCGATTAAGTGAGATACTGCATGTCATATGCTCAGCCCCATACTTGGCACCTAGGAAGAGCTGAATGTAATGGTTGCTGCCCTTCCCTCCCCTCCCCTTCCCTTCATTCTCTTTCTTTCTTTCTCTCTCTCTCTCTCCCCCTCTCCCTCCCCCTCCCCTTCCTTCCTTTTCTTTTCTTTCTTTTTTTTTTTAAATACAGGAGCTAAACTTCATCTTGGGGGTGAGGTTGAGGCAATAGCCAAGAATAGCTTTATATGTAGGTTCCTAATAATTGGAGAGAGTGTTTGCCAAATCTTTGGAGTTTGTTTGTTGTCATTTCTACCCTGCTTGTTTCCAGAAAGGATTTGAACTAGCTGCGCAGCTGAGAAGTGTGTTCCAGTTGTGAGGTAATGGAGAAAGCCCTGACCCAGAACTGAAACGAACTTAGCGCCAGATCCAGCTCTTCCAGACAGCTGGGCGATCCTGGGCCACCCTGCCGGCAGGCTTTCCCATACCACAGTCTGTGCCTTGTTTATTAATAGGAAGTGGTCCCTTTTAGATACTGGCTTTCAGTTTCTGTGCATTTGTATATGATCTCTAGAGTCTCATAAGTTTGAGATGATATTCTAAAAGCAGAAATATGTAACTTGAATTTAATCTTGCTTCTGAATAAAATAATCACTTTCAAGAGAATAATCATTGATATAAGTGACTTAATATGTAGTCCACTCATAGTCTTTGCTTCGCTGAATTCGTTCCAGAGCCCTCATATATTGTTAATGTTACGTTGATATTGACTTGTTTTGGTGACAGTGTTCTTACAAAAAGGTGCTGAGGTCCTAAGTTCTGAGACCTTGACGTGCTCACGTGGCGGTCATGTGTCTGGAAGGCACTGCGTAAGTCAGTTCTGACTGATAAGGCTTAGCGTCAGGCTTCAGGAAAGGTTTTCTCTTGTCATTGTTGCTGTTGTGTTTGTTGGTGGTGGGGTGGGAATGCTTTCTAACTGACGGACTATCAGGGCTGCTTGGGTTATTACATGGAGATAAAATAAGGAGATGAAAGATTTTAAATAAAAGAATACCCTTCTAGGAGATGAGAAAGGTTAATAAACCTATGAAAATATGTTCTATTCGGATGCTTCTGTCTGTATAAGCTCTTTATGACTTTGTGAAAAGTTTACAAAATTTTCATCAATTTTCCTTTATAATTTAAATACCTGAAAAAATAGATTCTGTGTCTCACAGAGTTACAGATCTTAATTCTGATCTGACATTTGGTGGTGATGAGTGTTGTTTTTTTTACTAATGTTGCAATTACAGTTGGCCCTTTGTATCCATGAATTCAACCAACCACAGATAGGAAATATTTGGGGGAAAAAAATTTCCAGAAAGTTCCAAAAAGCGTAATTTGAATTTACCACACTCCAGCAACTATTTACGTAGCACTTACATTGTATGAGATATAAGTAATCTAAAGGCTTAAAGTATATGGGAGGATATGGGTAGGTTATATACGTAAATGCTATGCTATTTTATATAAGGGACTTGAGCACTGGGTGATTTGGGTACCACTTGGGGCCAGGTGGGGTGAGGGGTGGTCCTGGAACCAGTCCTTCTCGGATATTGAGGGGTGACTGTAGTTAGTTTTTTGAAAGAATTACAAGCTACAAATTTATTTTGAGTTCAGTTGTCTTGTGATGTCAAAACACAGACAACTAGCAGAATAGAAAATATTTGTAAATCATACATCTGATAAGGGGTTAATATCTAGACTACATAAAGGATTACAGCTCAGCAGCAACAAAAAAATCCAATTCAGAAATAGACAAAGGACTTGAGTAGACATTTCTCCAAAGAAGATGCACAGGTGATCAATAAGCACATGAAAAGAGGCTTAACGTCCTTAGTCATTAGGGAATTGCAAATCAAAACCACAGCTTATGGTTTTGAGATACCACATCATACCGATTAGGATGTGGCTATTATAAAATTTTTTTAAAAAGGAAAATAAATGGTGGTGAAGGTGTGGAGACACTGGAGCCCTCATGCATTGCTGATGGGAATGTGAACTGGTACAACTGCTGTGAAAACCAGTTTGGTGGTTCCTCCAAGACTTAAAGATAGCATTGTCACATGATCCAGCAATTCCACTCCTAGGTACTTACCCAAAGAATTGAAAGCAGGAGCTCGGGTACCTGTACACCAATGTTCACAGCAGCCAAAATGTGGAATGGAAACGACCAGTGTCCATTAGCTGACGATGGGTGAACAACGTGTGGTTTATATGTGCAATAGAATGTATTCAGCCATTAAAAGGAAGGAGATTCTGACACAGGCCACGACGTGGATGAACCTTAAAGATGTTATGCTAAGTGAAATAAGCCAGACACAAAAGATGAATATTGTATGATCCTGCTTATTTGAGGTCCCTAGAAGAGGCACATTCAGAGAGGCAGAAAGTAGAACAGTCCCAGGGGCTGAAGGGGAAAGGAAGATGGGGAGTTACTGTTTAATAACAGAGTCTCTGTTCAGGGTGGTGAAGAAGCTCTAAAATGGACAGCAGGGATGGTTGCGTGACATCGTGAATGTACTTACGCTGCTGAATGGTAGTGTTAAAAATGGTTAAAATGTCATTTTTATGTTGCATATATTTTACCATAGTAAAATTTTTTTGAAAAAACCAACTAAACAACAACAGTATGGATAGATTTACTCAGTTAAATCTTTCAGTATCTTCCCCACAGATTTTTTTCTCATTTGTTACTTAAGCACCTGTCTGGGCACCTCAAATTAGATTTTTAGGATTAATTGCCGTTAGATTTGTATTGCCTTTGAATTACAAATGGTCTGGGGTTTGTAATGTTACCTTTATGGCAACAATTTTTAATGAATCTCCTTTGTTTTGCAGTTACTTCGAGAGCTTAAGCATCCAAATGTCATCTCTCTTCAAAAGGTGTTTCTGTCTCATGCTGATAGGAAAGTGTGGCTTCTGTTTGACTACGCTGAGCATGACCTCTGGGTAAGGGGACTCGGTGTACCTGGAGCCATGGTTCCAGTCAGGGATGAAGAGGGACCCACTCAGAATAGCTTTAGGGAGCTCCTCTTACTGTGAGATTTACAATTTTAAAATAAAAGTAACCTCCTAGAATGTGGTTGGTGAATTACCAAGGCTAGAGTATTGCTTTGTATTTTTACTTTTGATCTTACCACTTTGACCTTTGAAACATACTACAGAAAACAACAGAATCTGAAGCATATAAACAGCTCTTAAATATTGTTTCTTAGCTGTAGATTTTTGATAATATTTGAAAAGGTAATAAATTTTGTTACAGAATTTAAAAGCAGCATATTTCCTTTTATTCTGTAGTGTCAAGGAATTTAGGATGGGAAGGAGGTCCCTCATGTAGGGAAATGAATCTGTTTGGAAAGGCAGTTGCGATCTGACGGGTCCGTCTGTTACTTGTCACATGCCACAGATCTCATACTGGCTCCGGAGATATAGTTCCCTCATCTGTAAAATGTGATACTTTAACTGCTTCTTTTTTTTTTACAGGATTTTTCTGAAGAACAATTTTGTATTTGAAAAGCTTTATAAACTAAGTGTTCTATTCAAATACAGTAGGAAACTTATTAATCATTTATTGGGTATTATTCACAATTGATTTTTTTTTTCACAATTGATTTTCAGTATTCTAGTGTATTGTTTTCATCAGCAGAAATTCAGTATTGTACTTACTTGAATTCAGCACATTCTTACATAGGAAGAATTCCTTACGGAAGAGAGCTCTACTGCAAAATGAGATTGGCATGAAAATAGAGTCTGTTTTGGCTTCTATTTTGTGTGTGTCCAACCTATGATAAGACTATTTTTAGATACCAGACCCAATTAAATAGTTGAAGGTTCTGAAAGTCAAGAAATTATGTTTATTAGTTTAGCTAATATAATGAAAAAAATGATTCTGTATTGATAAACATTATTATAAACTGAGGATTTCAATTCATCTTGTCTAAATAGGTGAAATGCAAACAGCTGACTCAGTATTGTGCGTTTATTCAGCAGATTGCTTTTAAAATGGGATTTACAGAGTCTTAAGTGACTATAAAATTTACTCCTTTATTAAATATGTTGCATTTTTTAAAAACCTGAAATGCCATCTTAGGGATAAGACTTTATGATATATATATATAATGAAAATCTACAGCCAAAATAATTTTGAAACATACTCACAAAACTTATTTCCTGACCAGTCTTGTGCGAAGAACATGTTAACACACATTACAATTTAAAACACAAAACAAATAAAACCCAGAAATACATCAAATTAATTCATTAACAACCATGTTACTACTGTGAACTCTATTTTTTTCTGATATTTAATAAATAATGTCTTTAAATATTTCACTGTGTTTTGCATAACTGATCTGTTACAAAATTAGCATGGCTGTGTATTTATTGGGATAAATAAGAGAAAACACATACTGATATGCAAGGGATTGTAATAACCTGGCTCAGTTTCAAAATGTTCAATGTAATTAAAATTTTTTATTCAGCCGTAGTTTGTAAATGCAAATACAAAATTTTGAAATAAAATCAGCACAAATTCCAGTAAAACTGTTTAAAGGTAAAGTCACCTTCTGAAAATAGTAAAATAGTTTCAAACTCTTGCTATTTTCCAGAATTAGCCTTATTCACATAATTTGAACTTTAACAGATTTCAGAAATTGACACTTATTTGAGTTTCATATGTTTGTAGATTTATAAAAAATATTTTCACACTGTAGATTCCTATTTTCCATGACTAAATATGATTT